ATTATACTATTCCTAGCAGTATTATTACTTATTTAGTAGTTATTTACCTTTATATAGCTCCTTAGCTCTATAGTAGGTTAGGCACTAGTTATATCTATATTTAATCTATTAGATATTCGAGTGCCACGGGTTTTAGTAGTCTAGGTAGTACTTTTATAAATAATCTAGGTTTTTATTATAGAAGTTTTTACTAGGGTCTTATTATATATATCTATAATCTACCCATTATCTATCCTCCTTTATAATAATTTCTAGTTGGCGTTTATTATAAGCTTCTAGTGGTATAGAGAATAATAGTAAGATTATTATAGGTAATAATAATATATCTCTATTTTATAGTTAGATTAGTAGTTTATCTAAGTATTCCTATATATTTACTCTATTAGTAAAGATTACTTCTTTACCTTTAAACTATAGGTAAGGCGTTAGTATCTACTTAACTTTCTTATCTACTATTTTAGATTATTCTTCTTCTATATTCTTATAGAGTTATAAATCGGTTAATAGCTCTAATCCTAATTTATTATTAAGTGTAAGGTTATTAATAGCGTCTATAATAGTCTATTCTTCGTCCTTAGTTTCCTTTATTAGGATAGTAAGTATATTTAACTACCTAATAACCTTATTCTTAGATCTATAGTTCCTAGTAATATAGCCTAGTTTACTATATATAAAACATATATAAGTCTTAGTCCCCTAGTGTTAGGTTCTATCTAAGATACGCATATTAGGCTTATAAAAGCCTAGTCCTTTTCCTTTTCCTTTACCTAAGTAGTTAAACTAGACATCTTCTATTAGCTATTATCTATAGGAGTCTTATAATGCGCATTAAGGTTCTTTTAGTATTACTCTATAGACTATAGGTACTAGTTATTTAAAACTAATATTCCTTAGGTTATATTAAAATTCCTATTATAGTGTAAACTATTCTCTATTAATCCTAATTAATTTATTATATAATTTATTAAGGGTTCTAATAATTCCCCTACTACGTAGAAGTTCTTCTTGTAGAGGTTTCTTAAGACCTTATTTATATATTATTATTAGTAACTTATTATCCTAGTTAAGTTATATAGTGTTCTTATAGAATTCCGCTATATACTTAGCTACTAATTATTATTATATTATAGTTTAAATATTTTATACTATAATAGATACCTTATTAGCGATTCTAAATATCTACTTAAAATATTTCTTAAAGTTAGTATAGTCTTTAATAATATTAACCACGTCTATATAGTTATCTATATATTTCTTATCTTTATTATTATAGTCTATTTCTAGATACTTAGTTATATAGGGTTAAATCCATTCTCTAGTATTACCTTATATATAAGTAGCTATAAAGATAACCTTTTATTTATCTTTAGATTATTTATTAAGTTTAAAGAAATAGAGGTCTAACTAAAGAAGCTAGATATTAGTATACTTTCTATTACTATAATATAAATTAGGTTTATATGCTTTACTCTTAGAGTTACCTATTAGAGTAATAGTATTATTATTTAAAGCTATAGAAGAAGTAGGAGTCCTTATAGTTATATTAAGGGTATTTAAGATATTAAATCTAGAAAGAGTAGCTAGTCCTAAATAGGTTAAGGTTAGTTCTTAGGCAAGACTTACTAAGAGAAGGAGGAAGGGGTTCTTATTAATATAGAAGTATCTTATAAAGTGTAATAAGTTAATAAGGGAGGCCTAAGTAAATCTAAATAATAGATTAAAACTTAGGTTAAATATAAGTATAAAGATTTATCCTTATATTCCTATATAGAAATCTTACTTAGTTGCTTAGGAGCCCTAAATAACTAAGTAGGTTACGTAATAGCTCTTAGCTACTTAGTTATTTAGGAACCCTAAGTAGCTAAGTAAGTTACGTAACTACTATCTAAGCAACTTAGCGTATCTTTATCTTATTATAACCCTAGTTATTACACCTTTTACCTTTATAAGCGCCTAAACTTCCCACCGTTATCTAGTTTGTAACAGTATTAATAGATACTAACTAGTAAATAGTTAGAACTACTATAAGGTTAAATAGCTAGGACGTAATAAAAAGGGAAACCTATAGAATAATACCTAGGAACTAGAAAGTAATCTTAACTACCCTAAAAAGTTAGAAGAATTTTAGTTAAACTAATCTCTTAAAGAAAGCCTAGAGATATTAGACTAAGAGTTAGACTACCTTATAGTAAATTATAAAGAATACTACTATTAGAGAAGGTATAAGTAGTATCTTAAGAAACTACTTTACCCTTCTTAGAACTATTCTATAAACTAGTAGCTTTTAGTTCTACTTTTTCTTAATCTAATTTAGCCTCTAGAAATACTAACTAATAATCCTCCTACTTATTAAGAAGCTCCTTCTATTTCTATAACTATAATATTCTTAAGTAAGTATTAGCTAAGTGTTAGGTAGTAGTAGTAGTAGTATCTAGAGTATTTTTCTAGGCCTTTTTAGCCTTAATAAGTTTAGCTTAAATTTTAGCTTAGGAATAACTAGTGTTACGCACTATAAGTAATTAATATAGATAGAATAATAGTAGTAGATAATATACTCTTAGCTACTAAAATATTATTAATATTATAAGAACCCTAAATATTTAAATAGATATAAGCTTTATAAGTAGGACGCCTAGGCATATTACATAGAGAAAGCTTATATAAAATATTTAACTAGTTATAGTAAGAGTAAGGTATAGTAAGAAATCTATAATAACTAATTTTATTAGTAAGTATAAGTTATTTATTAGTTTTATAGAAAGGCATAGAGGGTAATAATAATCTAACTTATAATAGGGCTTACCCTACTAATATAGTACTACCCCTATAATAGATTAATCTTTAGGCTAAAGACTTAAAAGGGGAAGATAGTGTTATAGCTACTATACTATAATAGAATTATAGAAATTACGTTAATAATAGTAGTAACTAATTAGATTATATAGGGGAGGAATATAATTATAGGTTAGATACTAAGTATAATATAAATATATAAGAAGTTACGTAATTAGATCTATAGATCTATAAATACTAAGAATATAGAACTATAGAACTAGGATTTATAGATCTATAAGAATCTATAGATAGAGCCTATAGAGCCATTATTAGATAGTAGTATATAGAGATAATAGATTACTACTAGATAAGCCTTTATTATTAATCTATAATATAGTTCTCTATATCTAGTTTTTTTTATAGAAGATTACTATTAAGTCTTTAGTAATACCTACTTATAGTAGTAATTAATTAATATTTATACTATATATAATCTATACTACCTACACACTACTTATCTCTCACTAGAACCCTAATAGGGCCATGGCTAGTAATAGAGTCCTAGAGGCCCTATTATATTAAGCCCCTCTTTTAAGCTTTATATTTTATAAATCTAGAATTCGAGATTGGCTCTATTAACGTTATAATAGACTAGAATAATATTTAAAAGCTACTTAGGTTTATTAAGCCTAATCTAGCCTAGAATAGTCTCGAGCTATTTACTATTAAAGTAGAAATATTAAAGAATACTACCCTATTCTATTACTAGGAGCCTTTTACCTATAAGTTTATAATAGTATAAGAGTTTTAAGGGTATAGTTATAAGTTTAAGAAAGTATATACTAAAGTAGAAATTTATAATAGTTCTAGCTATTATAAAATTATTTTCTACTACTTTAGTAGTCTAAGTCTTATTATTTAATATAAAATAGACGGTTATATTAATAAGAAAATATTATTTAATAAAAAAAGGCTAGATAAGAATAATTTTACTACTTTCTTAGACTTATTATCTCTCTTATTACTACTTATACCTATCTAAGTAATAGTATATAGTAGTTCTAAATTAGTTATTAAATAGAAGGGTAGTATTATACCTCTTAGCTTAATACTTAAAATTAAAACTTATATTTTATATAAGCTAATTCCTTTCTATAAGGTTATACTATAGCTATAGGTTTTATAAACCCTAAACCTAGTATAAGCCTACTATATAAGGGGTAAATTCTAAGAAGTATAGGTAGAGGACGTATTAGTAGAGCTTATAAAATAGAAAAAAAACTATTAGAAGTATCTTTAAATACTATCTATATTAATTACTAAGATTATTAAGCGTATTTAAGGTTATGGTAGGAGGGCCGTGCTTAGATATAATATAATAAAAGATAAAATAATACTTTTATAACTAAGTAATAGAGAAAAGATATTACCTAAAGACCTATATTTAAAATAGATAGGGATAGGGCTAGTAACTCTAGAGAATAGCTTTAAAGCAGCCCATCTATAGTAATAAGTAGGTAAGGGCGTAATAGTTACTAAGCTAAGTATAAGTAATAATAGTGTTTATGTTTAGTCTGGCTTTTATAGCACTTTGGCGTATTAAAATAATCGTGTGTAGAGAGAGGTAGAACACGTAACCTAAGAGTACTAATATAGTATTAACGCGTGTGTACGGAAGTTAAATTGCTTAAAGATGGGTATCTCGCTTATTTTTCGACAAAGAGTGCTTTTCTACCAATGGTGAGGGGCGTTAGCGTTAGTATAGAACTGAGCTTCTTAGTGCATCTATTAAATTAATCGTGTTAACTTACTTAAGTGAATTAATGTTAATCGGATAATACTCCGAGCAACTTCACTAGGAATAGGTGGGCTTCTTCTTGAAGCTTGTGGCGTTACGTAAACTAATGTTACGTCTGCAGCGTGACTGAGAGACATGCCTGTTAGGTGAGACGGAACCTCCAGGCCAGGTGCTTGCCCGGTTCCATGCACATGCGTGAGTACAGAGTACGCGCCCACGGCTGACAGTCGCAGCTGCATATATGGGTTCCACAACATGAAGCATCCCAGTTGGGGCTAGCGCTGCTGCGCAGAGGTTCCAGCTCTCTCGATCAATAAACAGCCCCTCTTTAGCTGCTACGCCACCGGCTGTGGACCTCAATGAGATTCATATCAACCATCGTCGCCATCACAATTACGAGACACTTGTACATCCATACCGGACTGGAATGGCTACCATCGATTCTCTCAAACAGGCACTTAGGCAGGAAGCCAAGGCAACGGCATCACCCTCGAGGCAGCCGTTGTCCGACACACAATACAGCGCCGGTTTCGATGTCTTGATACAGGGCTTAGGATGGATGACGTACCAAGACTTCATTATTCCTCAACTGTCTCAGCTAGTAGCCCCTCTCTTCAACTCGCAAATACATATCTCAGTACTAGAAATCGGACCTGGGCCAAAGAGCGTACTTGGCTATCTGCCAGACCATCTGAGACGAAAGATTGGGAGATACACTGCATTCGAGCCTAACAGCTTGTTTGCTAAGATGTTGGAAGAATGGCTTACTTCCGAAACGAAGTCTCCACTGCCCTATTTGGAAAAACCGCCCGACATCCGCCAAACACCTTTCATTCCAGATGGCGACGCAGGGAACGGTACTAGTGTCGGTACGAGTCATGACGATGAAAAGTACGACGTCGTTCTATTCTGCCACAGCATGTACGGCATGAGGCCCAAACGCAAATTCATCGAACGGGCGCTTGCGATGCTCGTTGAGCGGCCCGAAGGTGGCATAGTCGTGGTATTCCATCGCGATGGCTCCTTACACTTCAACGGCTTGGTATGCCATCAAACTGCTTCTTACCCTAATGGAGTCGTTTGCGTGGCAGATGACGATGAGGTGCTGGATCAGTTTGCTCCTTTCGTCGCGGGGTTTCTCACTAAGGCTATGGATGTGGACCATGACATTCGAGTCGATTGGCGCAAGGTGTGCCGCGCCTTGGGCCGTTGCGAGGAAGCCCACCCAGGCCAGCTCTTGTTTAGCTCACCCAACGTTATGGCGGCCTTTACCCAACATGCAACCACGTTGCCGGAGCTGACAGCGCAGATACTGTTAGCGAACCATGACAGGACAGTCAAAAACCAGGAGGCTCGCTTCCACTCACCCGCTTCGATTGTCAGGCCGACAAAAGTCGAGGACGTCCAGCAGTGCGTTCGATGGGCTTTGAAGCACGGAGTGGGCCTAACCATCATCGGCGGGGGTCACAGTGGCCAATGTCTCTGGCGCAACGTTGTCTCGGTCGATATGAGCGCTTTTGACCAGATACACATTCTCAAGGCCGAGGATGGAGGGGAACTTGGTTCCTTGGTCGTCGCCGAGGCCGGCTGCAAGACGGGGGACATCATCCGCAAGGCCATGGCGGCAGGCGTGACAATACCCTTGGGGGCTCGCCCAAGCGTAGGTGCGGGCCTATGGTTACAGGGCGGCATTGGACACCTGGCTAGGTTGCACGGGCTTGCGTGCGACGCCATTGTCGGTGCCGTAGTGGTCGGCGTCGACTTCAACCAAGTCCTATGCGTCGGCCATGTACCAAGCCAACACCAACCAGCCGGTGCTGTTCGCCCGGAGAACAATTCCGATATATTATGGGCAATAAAAGGCGCCGGGACGAACTTTGGCATTGTCGTCAGCGTGACTTTCAAAGCTTGCGCGGCTCCAATCTACTTGACACGAAACTGGGTTATGCCGCTGAGTGACAAGCTCGAGGCTTATCTCAGACTCAGGGACTTTGATGAACTCGTCTCCACAAAGCTCCCCCGGAACTCTTCTGCCGACGCGTATCTGTACTGGGACGCCGGCCAGCTGCATCTTGGCGTGACCATGTTCGAGTCCTCCACTACTGCGATCGCTTCTGCGACATCTACACCCACACCAGTATATGCAATCTTGGGGCCGGAGAAGGACTCTGAGGTGGTGGACGGCGTCGGTCTGTTCGAGACGGAGATGTATGTGTCCGGGATGCACGGCGGGCATGGCGGCGGCAAGACGTCCTCGTTCAAGCGATGTTTGTTCTTGAAAGGTATCGGAGAAGAGAAGGTCGCTGACCGGTTGGTGGCCGCCATTGCGACTCGTCCCTCGCTGCTCTGCTATCTCCATCTGCTACAAGGTGGCGGGGCGGTTGGCGACGTTGCGGCCGATGCCACTGCTTTCGGGTGTCGAGACTGGGATTTTGCGTGCGTCATAACTGGTGTCTGGTCGCGCGACCAAGACGGCACCGGAGCCGCACGCGCTGCTGTACAGTGGGTTTACGATGTCGCTAGGGGCTTGTTGCCCTTGAGTAGCGGAGCTTACGGTGCCGACCTTGGGCCCGACCCTAGAGACACCGCGTTAGCGGTCAAGGCTTTTGGACCGAACTGGGCTCGCCTTGGCCATCTGAAACACAGCTTGGACCCGCATCATGTGCTGGCGTACGCCTGCCCGCTCCCGAAAACGCCGGTGGAACCGAAGCTTGTCGTTCTCGTCACAGGCGAAAGCTGCGCCGGCAAGGACTATTGCGCCGATGTTTGGGCCTCCGTGTTCGTTAGGTACACCCACACAGCGCGTGCAGTGAGCATCAGCGATGCGACCAAGCGAGAATACGCGGCGGCTACCCGCGCCGATCTGAACCGCCTGCTTTCGGACCGTACCTACAAGGAGCAACACCGGCCAGCGTTGACGGCATTTTTCGAAGAGCAGGTGCGGCAACGACCTCAGCTGCCAGAAGACCATTTTTTAAATGTGGTGTACCGCAATCTAGATGTGGATGTGCTGCTCATCACTGGAATGAGAGACAAGGCGCCGGTTGCGACCTTTTCGCATTTAGTACCAAACAGCAGGCTAATCGAGATTCACATCCAAGCTAGTAGACAGACACAACGAAATCGCCGAGGATGCCATGGCAGCGACGACCATGGTGACGACAACAAAGGCAGCGACGATAGCCGGTCGAGTTTGGCGGCCTTGGACTACCACCCCAGTCTCATCTTCGACAATGAAGCTGAAGGAAACGAAGCGGCGAACAGATTTGCCGAACACTATCTGCTTCCCTTCTTCGATGAGGGCCTACAGCGATTGGCCAACATAGTGCGCTCGGTACCCAATTTCCCACGCCAGGGCATGGAGTTCCGCCACGTGCTAAACATCCCTCAGCACGTGGGTGGGTTGGCCCTGTGTACGTCTCTGCTGAAAACTCACTTTCTCGGTGACTGGGCCACAGTCGATGCGGTGGTGTGCTGCGAGGCGGGCGGCTTTGTCTATGCGTCGGCGTTGGCTTCGCGAGTCGATGTCGACGTGCCCTTGGTCTTGATTCGCGAAGCAGGCAAGCTCCCCCCACCCACCATTTCTGTTGACAAGCCCGTGTCATATATCTCGTCTTTGGTTCCAAACGAAACGAAGGTGAAGCGGATGGAGATGGAACGGGATGTTCTCCCTAGGAACGCGTCGGTGGTGGTGATGGACGATGTGCTTTCCACGGGGAAGACGCTTTATGCGGTGCTACAGCTACTCCGTGAAGCTGGCATTGGCCCCGAAAGGATCAGCATTATGGTCGTGGCAGAATTCCCGATCCACCGTGGCCGGGAACTGTTATGCCATCGTGGATTCAGCAGAGTCAATATTCAAAGCCTTTTAGTCTTTGGCGGTACGTAGGTGAGGAAGGAAAGCATCTTGAATTTGTGATAGGGATACCTTGGGATATATGATTTGGACAATTTGAAAACTGCTTCTTATTGTTAAGCAAGTTTCGTATGCAGATTACAAACGTCTATCGTTTAGGTGTCTTTATGCTCCCGTTCCGATCAATATCACTGTATGGAGTTGCATTTCAGGCGAACCGGAAGCTCACACAAGGTAAGGTAGGATCTGTACGTGCTAAGATAGAGGTAGCGATGCTCAACAAGTGACTGTTGATACACTGGATGCATGTTGAAGGCTAACACATCTAACAGAACGACCCTGAGTGACTTGCCTGAGTAAATGAGTACTGCTGCCAACGCTATTTATAACAATAACCAGGCCCATAGACCATCGCATGATATCGTAAAAGACACGCTTTATTTCTGGTTGATGCGATTCAAGAACTGTTCTCGAATTTTGGCTGTCGACCGCATGCAACCGAGCATCGACATGGTTGTAGTGGTTGCGCCTATCTTCTGAACTCCACGCATGGTCATACAAAGATGGCTAGACTCCACTACGACAGCAACACCTTGCGGCTGGAGAACCTCGGAAAGGGCGAGGGCTACTTGCTTTGTGAGCCGTTCCTGCACCTGGAGTCGGCGGGAGAACATCTCGGCGATTCTAGCGAGCTTGGAGAGGCCGATCACCCGGCCATTGGGGATGTAACCAACGTGTATCTACTTAAGGGTTAGGATGATGGTGTAAATCTAGGGTGACGTTTTACGTACTTTTCCAGTGAATGGCACGAGGTGATGCTCGCAAAGGGAGAAAACATCAATATCCGTTACCATCACGAGCTCATGGTGGTCTTCGTCGAATACAGCGCCATTCAAAATTCCGCGCAGGTTCTCTTCATAGCCTTGTGTAAAGAAGAGAAACGCTTTTGCGTAGCGATCTGGAGTATCCAGTAGCCCTTCACGGTCGGGGTCTTCGCCGATGCATTCCAGTATTGTCCTCACTGCACCAGATAGCTTTGCCAATTGCTCTTCCTTTTCCTGGTTGGTCGCTTCCTTTCTCTTGCGTGTGCCTTTGCCTGGTAATCGTTAGCCATTCTTCCTCCATGTAGCCATGTCACTTACCAGGCCAGCTCAAACCGTCGAGATCGATAGGGTCGTGCTGGGTATTTGCGCTTTCAGCATGGATCGTACCCGGGAAAGCTTTTGAGAAATCATTCTCGTTGAGCGTATCGACATCGCTATAGAATATGTGGCATTCATTGTGCCCATCTCGGCTGTCCATGTTCGCGCTGAACAAAAGTAAGGGCCCTTGACATGGCTAATGACTCCCAAATTGTACACTCACTTATGTATTCCTTTACAACGAGACTCGATGCAGTCCTTGGAGGTTAGGATAGAGTGGCTTGAAATAAAGAACATTGACGCATTACACAGTATGGCAATGGTAGCATGCACAAAGAAGCATGTGGAATCATAAAAGAAGACCGAAGAGCTTCAGATGCAAACGATAGAGGTGAGCTCAAGGGTGCTCAGGGATGGGCTTCCATTCTCGCTGCCTAGGATTCTTGCCTCTACATATAAGGAACAAGGTCACGAAGTGGAAGCAAGGTTGTAGATCAAGGTGCTGAAACGCCCAATCGGGCAGAGAACATCGTCGACAAGGGTGTGCTCAACACAGTCTGGCCAACATGTTCCTCAACGTTGAACCTGACTGGTCATATGCGTTATCACTGCAGCTCATTATCTGCCACCCTCTTCCTTCAACCTCTTCTGGTGCGGGGTATCTCATGAAAAAGAGACTTAAGATATCTTAGGTTAGGTTGCATCATGTACTAGGCTACTGCAGCGACCAGGCTTGGGTGCGCTTGTATGGGGGATTGCAGGCGGGATAGTAACTGCCTGTCTCCACCATCAGTAACTACAACAGTTAATGCATCCGGCATTATGGCTTCACCGGAAAACCTCTAATTGGCACAGCCTCAATAGACCAATGAAACTTAGAACGGTCAACGGAACCAACATTGTGGTCTCACCGGAAAGTCTATGTGTGGCACAGCCTTGACATGCTCGACCAATGAAATGTCTTCTACAAACACCATCGCGATATGAACGGTACCTACCCTGTGGAAGAGTCACAGCAGGAATCAATTACAGGATGTAGTAAACAAAGAACCTGGTATGTTGATGCATCTAAACGTCATGAAGCGTCGAAACGCACGCTGTACACCTCGATACGGATATCGTTCACCATAAACTGTTATCAATGCATATGAATGACATTAGCTCTACTAAGACTTTATCGTTGGGCGTGGGCAGCCCAACCCGCCGAGGTGGTGAACCATTCCGAATTTCTATTCCATTTTCAAGCTTCTGGAAGCCATTCCACACTGCAAATATGGCGAAACGAAAAAAAGATTTCTATGCTGTGATTAGGGGGCACTACTCACCTGCGATCTGCACATCATGGTATAAAATTTAGTCTGCTGTTTATAACGACCAAAGCGTGATCATCTCTAATGTACACAGGGCAATCGCTTGCGTGCTTGTCGACGGTTATAAAGGCAATAAACATCATGGCTTCGAGAGTCTAGAAGAAGCTAAAGCCTATATGCATCGATCAGCGAAGAGTCTCCGAGGGTGATGGTCTGGAGGGTATGGTGTCGCGGCTCCGCCTAGATTAAAGGAAAACATATGGATGATACATGAAACTGCATTTGTTGCCGACAAGCTCCTAAGAAACTCTACCAACCGACATTGACAATGAACATGAACGCGGTCCAAATGCTGTAGAATTGCCACCTGCCCCCGCTTCCAGACTATGTGCCATTGGAGTATCGAGCTTACCCGCTAGACCAGCCCCCAGTCTAGCTAGGGAGAGCTGCTGCAGCAGATTTGTCGTGTTAAAAAGACGGTTGCCCGTGCCGGTGGTCCCACTACCGGTGAATTAGGTGTCCAAAGACGAAGTGCAACCACAAGGCAGATTTTGCCGTCGAGGCCGCGGATAGTTTGCAGAAACTCCATCACAGTTTTCCCACTATTCATGACAGAGTCCACCAGCACAATGTGCTTCCGGTTTTGTAAATAATAAGGCTTGATGTCGCTAGGACGAGTCGCATAAATATACATCGCTGATAGGAATGCATTACTAACACTAGACGCCATTAGCTCTCTAGCACGCATAAGCGCTATAAAAGTTATCTGCAGCCCATACAAGAGCCTAAAGCCGGTTGTCCTATACCCCAGCACGTGCGAGATTAGGTATTCTTTCATGCTGATAAGGCGAGTTAGGAACTCGTGTGCTAGATACCCTCTAAGCTAGTAATATGCTTTCCTCAAAGCTAGACTAGCAGCGGGCGCATTGCGCATTAGGGTTATAAGCAGTTTCGCGGCATTCCTATCTGTCGCGTAATAAAATGGAAACCTAAGAGATTAATTACGACGATGAATAAAGGCGCTAATAAACTCTATCCTAGTTAAGTCAACTACTAGGAGATTGGAAATGCTTAATCGTGGTAAAGCATTACAGGGTAATAAAGTTTATTAAGCATGAAATCCGTCCTGTTTAATGGCATCCAACAGAGCTAAGTCTATTGTCTTACTCCTAGTGCGCTCGTCACCCACCACAACAACCGCTTGGCCTGCTGCTTTTAACATGTCCCGGTCTAGCGGGCTATCGCCAAATGCCCAGACGTATGCTCAGTAAGTATTTTGCAGGTGCGTGATAACAGCAGCCTCGACTACCCCTGTGACTACGAGGCTGTCCGTGAGGCGCCTTCCAGCGATAAGTCACACTGTCTTAGAGAGACCTTCTCTTTCCAACACCTTCTCCCAGACACGACGAAGACCGCAGCTTAGGACCACGGCTCCAATGTGTTTCTGCTGTGCCACTAGCCGCAGTACGGATACAAACTCGGGGTACATGGTTACCGCTGAAGCCACGGCTACCATATACAAGTACACGGGAAGATTGCGTCATTTATGAAGTGTTGGCAGTCTTCCAACTGGCCGGCCATCGTGCAGGGCACGGCTAATAGAGAAGAAGACATCTGATGTTTCGCTAGGTTCGTGCCAACCTATGGTTGCAGCACGGCGTTCACTGAGCTCTTCCCGAAGTCGATTGCGATACCACGATGGAGGTGATTGGTTAGGAAGACCCGACATCCTGTGCCATCGACGCAGAAGCGCGGATGTGGTAGGACGCCTCTCGGGCAGGTTGTGGGCGGCAAAAAGCTGATCAATACATCGAAACAGATTGTTGCATGCGGGGAAACCGCGGAGGAGGAGAGGGGTGGTGAAAGACAGACGGAGGTGAGCGCTTAGAACAAGGTTGTGGTGGGTGCCAAGAGTGACCCATTTCAGCACTATTCCAATTCAGGCAACTTCCGTCCTTCAGAAGCCGCAATGAGCCGGATTGAGTTAGCGCATACTGTGTATGCTCACTCCTACACAGTGTTCAGTGCGTCTCTCATTCATGGTTCATCCTACAATTGGTCTGCGAGAGGTCTTTCTTAGCTCTTATTTGCGAGCCTGATATGCATGATATGCCTGTACTTGAGCTTGATATCAAGATTTCTGACCGGATTTATGCGCTGACTGGCAACGGTCATGGCGTTCCAGGGAGCTGGTGCTAAGTTGCCTTTTCACCGGACGCTGATGCTGACAAGGCCGTAGCTAGTGGCGAATTTATCAGCTGGATTCGCTCATGGAATGAAACGTAGAAAAGCTGAGACAACATTGATTACAAGTCATCACATCTTTCACCCTGCGAAGAATCACGAACACGATGGTTGATTACGTGCAAGAGGCGATCGGATACCGCTTTTCCGACTGTGAGCCGCTCCGCGTAGCTCTTAAAGCAGCCCACAGGAGCGAAGAAGCCGAAAAATCGGACGACGGCAACAGGGGCTTAGCCAAAATAGGTACATCCGTAATCGACATGGTGGAGACACATGACATTGTCATGACGAAGGGGAAAACTAAGAGTAAGTTGATCATTACTTTACTATTCTTCTTACGGTCGCCAACGAGGCTAGGTGATGCGGAATCCCGTCAGCACTGGTCTAAGACCAAACAAGGACGGGCGAATGCGTGTAGGAAATTAGGTATAGAATCTTGTATCGTCCAAAGCATTCGACAACAACAAGAACCGCCTTCCACCACTGTCTTAGCGAACGCATTGAGCGCTATCGTTGGCGCTGTCTGGCTCGACCTTGAGGAACAAGGCGAGAGGACAGTAACTGCCCGTACGAAAGTCTTTAATATCCTGCGCCACATAGATTCAGTCATGGCAGATAGGGTACAAGGTACATTAGCTACGGCCGACGAAGGAACCGCATTAATTCCAGAAGAGAATCACGGTCATCAACTGTACGAAGGGGTTTCGCACTTCGCTGCATCAGACGTAACGGTTAGTCGAGACGCTATCACTATGGATGCATTCATGCCGCAGCACTTCAGTGAGAGCCAACAAGATATGTTTGGCGGTATGTTCGAGGGTCTGCTTCCATTGCACGACATTACATTAGATTCTAATTCGCTGTCGTTGGACGCCATACATGGTGCGTTCTCCGCTCCTAATGTAACTTGTTTTCAATTACTAAAAATAACTTCCAAGTCTACATGCACATCCAAGATAACTTGAATGCCTTGCCTTCCGAAGGCGAGGTTGACTTCGACAATACTGCGCTGCCGCAACTGGACGAAGCGTTCCAACACTCAGAGGGTCGATTCTGGATCGAAAACGAAGGCCTATCTGACGCTGTCCAGGCCTCTTCCGGCGGAGTTGAACATGCACAACCAAAATTTCTTCGGAAAAGGAAGCAAGCGCATAGCAATGATGAGACATATGAAGACAACCCTGCATACTGCAGCCTTCTTCGTACCGAACGCCAAAAATTGGCCACGCTTTCCGTCTCAGATCGAGTCAGCGCGGAAAGATACTTAGACTATCCTCACAACGATGAAGCTAGCCAAAATCATACGCAAGTGATGCAGCTGCGCTCCTTATACCTGGGTATCGGCACCTGTGGAACTTTGGCTGACTTCAAAGAACTTCTTCGTGTTGCGAGGCAGAGAAAAGTCAGCTATCCACATCACATTGGGCCGACTCTGAACATTACAGAATGCTTCAACGAGATATGTCGCCTTGACAATGAAGAAGCACTGTGCGTTCTCACAAGACGTTATCACATCATCAAGTTCTGCGCCATCGAACAGGAAGTCTTTCGTCAGAGCAACTTCATAGCTATAGAGACTTCCAGTACTTTTGAAATAGCACGCAAAGCTCGGAGGGGGAACCCTATCGTGTTGCAGGAAGCCGCCACGACTGCGGCGTTAACATCCATAATCCAGCCGGGTTTGGGGCAAGAAACCAAAGAATTCAAAAGACTCTGTGATAAAGTCAAGCGCCTACGGAAATTGGCCCGAAACTTGCAGATGTTGACCAGTGTCTATGGGTTCGGAATCCTCGCACTGATTCCATCAGGGCCATCTTACCAAGACCTGTCCCTTACCGATACAGCGTTAGTGACCTGCACAGGATTATTTGTAGGGCTGAGCTGACGCACACAGGCTACGGTCTGTAGCTGAGCCGAGCTTTAAACGCTTTACAGAGTTGCTATACCAACAGCAAGGATTGTTTTTGAAGCCACTAAGTCAAGCTGTCCAGCCAGCTCTTATAGCTCTGGTTACAGGGTGCCTTTCTTCTCAGAACCTATTTCCTATCGAACAGATGGATATGAGAACGGTAGAAAGATTACCGAAAGGCTCTTTAGACTTGTTCGAGCATCTAAGGTCGACGAATTCTGGCAATTAAAATGGAAGGCATGTTTGTAGTTAACGAAAATGTTAAATTCTTATCGCGTGTTAATGTCCTGGTGAAGAAACGGCTTAAAATAGAGTAACGTTAAATACGTATATACCATTTTACGTTTGTTTCTAATTACATTAGTTAGTTCACTATTTAGAACAAATTATTAGAGATTTTAACTTTTATTTAACTAAGCACTAAAAGTATAGTCTTTACGGATTAAGATAGCCCCTCTATCTTAAATATAGAGTAGAATTCCACTAATATTATCTATAATAATTATACTAAAATCTAATATTATTCGATAGCTATTATAATCTCGCGGAATAATAGTAGAAAGATAAAGACACCTAGTAGGGTAGAACTAATAAGGCTAGGGGCTAATATATTATTAGATACTAAGGAACTAAAGAAGTTAGGTTAGTAAGTATATAATTATAATCCTACTAAGATAATAGGATCCTAGGAATAGAGGGGCTTAGCTAGAGTAGAAAAGCTACTCCTAGATTAGGGCTATACTCCCTAGGAATAGAGGTTAGTAAGGGATTATAAGGACTAGAAAGAGTAGTATATAGTCTAGAATAATTCTTAAGTATTTCCTATTCTTTATAGTTAAAACTCTATAGTTAAAATTAAAGTATATTTTTTATACTAAGATCTATTAGTCTTCTTATATAATTATTACCTTACCTTCTATAGTAAGGTTAGGTTATTCTCTTACTCCCCCTCTATTATTTATTTACTCTTATCTACTAAATACCCATAAGGCTAGTCTAGGTTAGGTAGGTAGAAACCCCTTATAATAATAGCTTTCTAACTCTTAATTTACTAGTTATAGAGAAGGGACCCTCCCTAGAAATTACTTATTAACTTATTAACCTCTAGTATTAGCTTTTTATTACTTTTATTATCTACCTCGAATAAGAGCTATATCGGCCCTTAGTCTAGAGTTAGATAGACATTAATAGTAGTAATTAGTGCTATATACTATATCTTAATTACTTAACTACTAATACTAATAATCTCTCTATTAAATCTAGAAAGGGTAGCTAGTCCTAAATAGGTTAGGGTTAGTTCTTAGGTAAGACTTACTAAGGGAAGGAAGAAGAGATTCTTATTAATATAGAAGTATCTTATAAAGTATAATAAATTAATAAGGGGCCTAAGTAAATCTAAATAATAGATTAAAACTTAGGTTAAATATAAGTATAAAGGTTTATTCTTATATTCCTATATAGGGATCTTACTTAGTTACTTAGGAGCCCTAAATAACTAAGTAGGTTATATAATAGCTCTTAGCTACTTAGTTATTTAGGAACCCTAAGTAGCTAAGTAAGTTATATAACTACTATTTAAGTAACTTAGTATATCTTTATCTTATTATAACCCTAGTTATTATATCTTCTACCTTTATAAGCGCCTAAACTTCCCTACGTTATTTAGTTCGTAATAATCTCACAGTTCTATTAGATATATACCTCGTGTAGAGTCTTCCTAAAAGTAGTATTTAGTAGTAATCCCTTTCTACTCTTTATACTTTAGAAATAGTTTAGTATAATTCTTAATCTCTTTAATATTATAAATTAGACTATAGATCTTAACTTTAAGACCTCTAAATAGATACTCTCCTCTATCTATTCTATTAGATTACTATAGAGCTATTATTCCCTCTAAAATACTTTCTATTCGCCGTTTTATCTAAAAAGCCTTAAATTAATTCTAAGTAAGTTACTCTACTCTTAATATAAGAAAATAGGTAGTAAAAAGGTTAAGAAAATATATATATATATATATCTATACTTAGGTGCTTTCCCTTTATAACTATTTATTTATAAATAGATATAATAGTAACACCTTACTCTATATATATAAGGATAGTAAAACTCTTTATAAAATAAGCCAGTCTCTTAGTTATATTATTTTACGTATCTACGTACTAGTATTAAGTAAATTACTAATTTCTAAAAGTAATCTAATAGCACCCCTTAAACTAATACTCTAAGTATATCTAAATATATATATATCTAAATATGTGTATATCTAAATATATAAATATATAAATATATAAATATATAAATATATAAATATATAAATGTGTAAATATGTAAATGCCTATAGTCGCTAATCTATATAGGGTAGTAAATAACTATAATAGAGTAAATTTCCTAGTAGTTAATAAGAAGCTAACTAGAAGGGGTAGATTTTACTAAAGCTATCTACTACTACTACTACTAGTAGGGAGGATAGTAAAGCCACTCCTACTATAAGATTATTAAAAATAGATAAAGAATATTACTATTAACTATTATAAATAGGACCTATAGTATTAACTAAAACGAATTTCTAGTTAAGATATACTAGTAGATTCTAGGGAATAGAGCTAACCCCTCCCTAATAATAGGTTATTATAGAAGCTAAGTTATATAAACTAAAGAAGTTGGCTATTATTAACTTAGAGTACTAATTTATAAAGTATAGCTAATAAAAATCGCCACTAAGGTATTATATTAACTAATAGCCTAAAGAATATACTTTATAGTATAATTATAACTAGGCCTATAATTAGTTATATATAGTTTAAGATAAGACCTATCTAGTATATAAAAAGACTAATTTATAATATATTATTAAGATTTTATAATATCTTAGAAAGTATATTCTAAATTCTAAAAGTTAATAGGAATAATATAGTATACTACCCTAGACTTAGTATAATGGTCGCTTTAGTATTTACTTAGTATATTCTAGTGTACCTTATATAATAAGTATTAGATTATTATAAAATAGTACTATAGGTAGAAATACTTTAGCTAGATATAATATAAGGTATAAACACATACTTACTTAGAGTATAAATAAGGATAAGGCCCTAGATACTTAGATAATAAGGATAACTAGATTAATATATATATAAATTTTACCTTCTCCTACTTCTAAAAAGCTATTCTATATTAATAGGCTCTAGCTTTATAGTAGATACTATATGTGAGAAACTAGTTATTATATTTAAAGAGTATATTTTATATTATAAGTATAGTATTATACTCTTACTAATATTTACTAAGCCTACTTAATTCTAGTTAATATTCTTCTCGCTATCTAGTGTCTATAACGCCTATATAGCACTCGGCTACGCCTATATTATAGATTTACTAGCTACTAGGGCTTAACACTCCCTATATTATTCGGCATTAAATAGATAGATATATTAATAAGGAAATATTACCTAAGAGGAAAGAGCTAGATAAAGTTAATCTTACTATTCTTCTAGATTTACTATCTCTCTTATTCCCCCTAGTACCTACCCTAGTAATAATATATAATAATTTTATATTAGTTATTAAATAAGAATATAGCGTTATACCTATTAGCTTAACACTAAGAATAAAGACTTATATTTTATAGAAACTAATTCCTTTTTATAAGGTTACGCTATAGCTATAAGCTTTATAAACCCTAGATTTAGTATAAAACTACCATGTAAGGGCCATATTTTAAGAAGTAAGGGTGGAGGACGTATTAGCTAAGCTTATTAAATAGGGAAAGGACCATTAAAAACATCTTTAGACGCTAGTTACACCGATTGCTAAGATTATCTTAGATCCATCCGTTGGCGCCCTATTGCAAGTTCATCTTACCAGCACTACTCAGAGCAAAAACTTTTGAGATTAACACGGACTTCGCACAAGATGTCATTGAGCAGCATATTGAAATGTTAAGCCACAGCTTCAATAGAAATTGACTGCACGCTGGCCTGGTGATACATCAGGAAGGGATGTGCACTACTCAAACTGGCGGCTACATAGCTTAAGAGGACAGCAGGGCGTTTCGTTACACACAACAAAATACTCCTACATCCTGTCCCCTGTACTTCTCTTCACTGCTTAGCTAGGCACAGTCCATGTACCTTTACGACCATTACATTCAATAAGTCAAGCCCCACTGCCCTTGTTCTCGGTCGATGTCTACCTCAGCATTGCGATAAACTTCCATGGTCGCAACAGCATCTTCTACGCTCGACGTTCGACCCTGCTTGATCGGGCGACCCAGCACCTTCAGCGCCAGATTCTTAAGACTGGGGCCCTGGTGGGCGCCGTGATTGGCATATTGGCGGTACCCACTATACTTCTGTGTGTCGCGGACTGTCATGTCAAACTTGAGAGGCGTGGCCAGCCAAAAAGCACTCTGAAGCCGTAGAATGTGAGCAGGCAAATCCATTGAGATGACCTTCAAATCTTTTTGAATATCGTGGCCGATCACAATCCGATCGCGGAGAAGCTCGATCAGTTGAGTCTGAACTTCAGAAAAAGGTTGGGCGCCGTTCTGCGGATCAATATCGTTCCAGCCGATTCCGGAAAACTCTTCATCGGTGTTTGTAATGTTGATGGGCTCTGGGTAGTACACGAAACTATCGAAGATGGTTTCGCTCTCGTAATTGACGACAGAGATGCGGCCGAGGACCTGACCGATGTTGGACCGCATCATCTCGCAGTCGATAGCGATCTTTTCGGTGAGAATGTTACGGTACGGGCCTACCGTCTTCGTGGATTCATATGTCGATGTTGTATGCATATTGTACGTTCGTTGATTCAGTAGTTAAAACCAGATCGATGTTTTGATATGGTATCGGAAAGCATGGAGATGAGGCTATTTCTAGCAACTGCAGTTTTGATGAATCAGGAGTGTGGAGCCGATCATTTCACGATAATAGTCACGCTCAGACCACATGCACGATGTGCAACACCGCGACAACGGGCGCGGTCGCACTGGTTGTGTCATGGTCCAATAGGCGCTTACGGCCTTTCAACATCGTCCACATCCGAGTAGAGGTGCAGATTCATGCATAATTGACACGCAGGGCTCGGGCTATCCTGATTGCTGGGTCGAACGAGAAGATCTGATTGTTAGACCTTCAGCATTCGGAAATGACGTGGCGGGTAGTACTTCGCTGGCTTCGTAGAAAGTCGACATAGAAGCGCTTAAGATACGGAATGGCAGAGACGGGCGTGAGGGACGCGATGGTCGAGATGGACGTGGTGGGAGAGATGCGGTAAAAGAATGGACAGGAAGAGGCGAAGAGCAGCGAGAAACTGACCCTGAGCCTTCACGTGCAATGCAACCTGGAACAACAAGGAAGTGATAGGTAGTTCAGCGTCAGCCGAGCTCAGACGCTTTGGGTGCTCATGATCGTAGTGTACATATCACGGGAGCTTGCGATGCAGGACAACTGTTTAAAGAGGCCTTGATGTTGGTAGTTTAATGCTCAATTACTTGAAATAGTAAATGAGTAAACAGGTCTTACTCAATCCGATTTGGTAGTCCTCCACCCTCTGCGGGCAGTCTTTTTAGGCTTATCATCGTCTAAAAAATTATCCGCATCTCTATCCTCTTCCTAACACAGTTCCTAGTAACTAAGTCTTACCGGATTTAGCTTGGTAGGATTAGCCTCGTAGAACGCACGGAGCTTACATAGGTAATTTTTAAAATTAGATATATTATACTATTCTAGATTAGCCTCGTAGTTAACCTATTAGACACAATACTACAGATTCTCGTAATATAGATGGACTACTAGAATCTGCTCTACCTCGTATTTGTCATCATTACTCGCACTTTTGTGGTTAGTCTCTGTTCCATCTAGACCTCGTAGTTTTTTAGTGCTGAGGTAAAAGATAGGGGCATCGTTTCCTACACTGTTACTGCTGTTGATGCTAGTGCCTTCGCCGTCCTGTACCTCCGCAACATCGGCGCGCGACCGTACTTCTGGGCAGTGTTGCGGAGAGCCGGAGGAGAGATATCGTTCCTGTTGTTTTGGCGCATGTGCGGCGTTTGTGGATTGCTGTTTCGATACTCCGTTGGATGAGCGAAGGTACCGCTTGCAATCAACAGCATTAACCGAAGCACCGCGTTTCCGTTTCGGTGTCGGCTCGCTCATCGTATTCTGTGGGCTCGTGTGCATCTAACAGGTGCGATCGCGCATATGCAGACCTGAACCTTTTTCGTGCGGGCCGCCCGAGTAGGCCGCAGAGTCCGACTGACTGTCATTGATAACGACCAGAGTTTCTAAGCATCGTCAGAAAATGTATACGCGCGCTATTATTACAATCTGGTACAGGCACTTACCTTGACTGCTGCCCTTCGAAGGGGCCGGCTGGCTTCCTTCTAGAGTTGTTGGCATTAAGACGCCCTCCCGTTCGTTCGTGGGATCGTCACTGCTGACATCACCACTTTCTCCTTTACTGCCGCTGATCTTATAGTTGGCTTCGTTGTCGGCTGCATCTCTATCAGCTGTCATACAACGCCAGAGCAAACACCGACATTACGTCGGCGTAGGGGATGCCGACCTGAGGACGTTGTTGAATCGACGATTTCAACATCATCCACCGTGTGTGCGAGTTCCTTTCCATTCCCCCTTTCGGTGTTCGAATCACGCTCCATACTCAGAATCTCATCAATGTCGGGGTATTCGTTGTCGTCGTCGTTAGGTGGGACCTTTTTCGAATGGGAACGTCGAGGTGTTTGCTTTGGTTCTGGAGGCCCCGTATAAGCTATAAAGTGGAGGGAGCGTTGCGACTGCGGCATAGGTATAGCGCCGAAAAGTGATGTCATCGCTGGCATTAGTCCTCAGAGGGTCCTGGGGGTTCGAAAGAAGCGGGAAGCGCAGACGTTTAAGTAGGCCATAACTGCACACTTGAGGAAATTTCTACGCACGAGCTCGCACAGCCCCTAAATGTACGTGAATGGTGGTGCGGCCTTCGCATAAAGCCCCTTCGCTGTTGGAAGAAGCCGTGAGCAGATACTCCACCAATACTTGACCTGGGACCGAGTAACGGTGGCTCCAGCTTCCAGAAGGATAGCCGTGCCGTAGGGAGCGCCTCCTCCTTCTCGTCAGAGCCTGCATGAAAATCGTACGAGCCTGTAGATGCCCGTTCCGTCTGATCCACTGTGCGCACGCTGATTAGGGTGCTCCCAGCAAAGGCTGCCCATTCATCGGCGACTCCGAGACCCAAACTAGGGCTTATATCTTGATCTAGGCCTCCACCTTCACGCTCCTGGTGGGGTGGACCAATTCGTAGAGGTAGATTGGCGCCTAAGTGGTCTCCTACTAGATTAAGATACTGCTCTAGCCGTTCCTTCCACTAAATCTATAACGCCGAAACGCAACCTGCCGTGATGTAAGTAGTTATGTAGAACTAGGCTCTATTAATTAGTATTAAATGTAGACTAGGTAAGTGTATGCTAATGCTATTCTATATAGCTAAATAGTAGATTATAGTCTAGCTAGGTCTACCACGTTTAACTCTATTATAAAACTAACTTTATAGTAATAGTATTCTAGGCTAATTAACCTTCTAAGGCTTATAGTCCTGTAAAACTATTAAGGGCCTAGCTAAGATTATATAGGCCTAACCCCTTCTACTTAGATACTATTAAGGTGTATAAGGCGCTTCTATTATTATTCTACGTAACTAATAACGTAGTAGGTTAATAATCTCTAAGATAAGTAGGTATACGACTTCTTCTAAAAGAAGGAACTAAAGAAATAGCTAGAATTAGTTTATAGGTAGTACTAGAGTAAAGGATAGATACTATAAATATTACTTAGTTATAGAGAAGGTAATAAATCTAAAGTAGCTAAAATCTAGAGTAAAATAGAGCTACTTATAGAAAATTAAGGAGAATATAAAAACTATTTTAAATATGGCCCCTATTACCCTTATTATTAGTCTATTAAAGGGGTAAAATTAGAGCTATCTAGGTAGTGCACGATTATATAAGTACTAAGGGGTAGAAAAAAGCCTTATAGGTAAGTCTAAGTAACTAATTAGGTAAGAGAGGGGTATTAGGAGTAAAGAGATAATAGAGTAAAAAGGGTAGGCTAGTAAGAATAGTATATTTTTATATAATAGGGTTAGCGTATAGGCTATATAAAAGTAGTAAGCTACTAAGTAAGCCTCTATTTCCTACTTAAAAAACCTTTATTTCTAAATACGGCTCTACTAACACTAAGATAACTATAATAGGGCCTCTAGGACTCTATTACTAGCCGTGGCCCTATTAGGGTTCTAGTAAGAGATAAGTAGCGTATAGAGTAGTATAGATTATATATAGTATAAATATTAATTAATTACTACTATAAGAATCTATTACTAAGAGCTTAATAGTAATCTTCTATAAGGAAACTAGATATAGAGAACTATATTATAGATTAATAATAAAGGCTTACCTAGTAGTAATCTATTATCTCTATATACTACTATTTAATAATAGCTCTATAGGCTCTATCTATAGATTCTATAGATCTAGACTCTATAGCTCTATTCTATAGATCTATAGATCTAATTATATAACTTCCTTATATACCTATATTATACTTAGTATCTAACCTATAATTATATTCTTCTCCTATATAATTTAATTAGTTATTACTATTATTAACGTAAGTCCTATAATTTTATTATAGTATAGTAGCTATAATACTATTTTTCTCTTCTAAGTCTTTAGCCTAAAGATTAATCTATTATAGGGGTAGTACTATATTAGTAGGGTAAGCCCTATTATAAGTTAGGTTATTATTACCCTCTATACCTTTTTATAAAACTAATAAATAACTTACACTTACTAATAAAATTAGTTATTATAGATTTCTTACTATACCTTACTCTTACTATAATTAGTTAAAAATTCTATATAAGCTTTCTCTATATAATACGCCTAGGTGTCCTACTTATAAAGCTTATATTTATTTAAATATCTATAGTTTTTATAATATTAATAGTATTTTAGTAGCTAAGAGTATATTATTTACTACTATTATTCTATCTATACTAATTATTTATAATGTGTAATACTAATTATTCCTAAGCTAAAATTTAAGCTAAACTTATTAAGGCTAAGAAAGCTTAGAAGGAGATTCTAGATACCCTTACTACTACCTAAGTAAAGATATTATAATTATAGAAATAGAAGGAGCTTCTTAATAAGTAGGAGAATTATTAGTTAGTATTTCTAGAGGCTAAATTAGATTAGAAAGAAATAGAGCTAAAGGCCACTAGTCTATAGAATAGTTCTAAGAAAGGTAAAATAGTTTCTTAAAATACTACTTATACCTTCTTTAATAGTAGTATTCTTTATAATTTACTATAAGGTAGTCTAACTCTTAGTTTAATATCTCTAGGTTTTCTTTAAGAAATTAGTTTAACTAAAATTCTTCTAACTTCTTAGGGTAGTTAAGATTACTTTCTAGTTTCTATATATTATTCTATAGGTTCCCTTTCTTATTACGTCCTAGCTATTTAACCTTATAGTAGTTCTAATTATTTACTAGTTAGTGTCTATTAATACTTACTACTTCCTATTCTTCTTACTATTCCCTATATATATCTATTTTATAAATTATAGGTTTTATATTCTATAGTGCCTTTTCTAGTAAGGCTATATAGAATACTATATAATAGGGCCTCTAGGACTCTATTACTAGCCGTGGCCCTATTAGGGTTCTAGTAAGAGATAAGTAGCGTATAGGGTAGTATAGATTATATATAGTATAAATATTAATTAATTATTACTATAAGAATCTATTACTAAGAGCTTAATAGTAATCTTCTATAAGAAAACTAGATATAGAGAACTATATTATAGATTAATAATAAAGGCTTACCTAGTAGTAATCTATTATCTCTATATACTACTATCTAATAATAGCTTTATAGGCTCTACCTATAAATTCTATAGATCTAGGCTCTATAGCTCTATTCTATAGATCTATAGATCTAATTACGTAACTTCCTTATATACCTATATTATATTTAGTATCTAACCTATAATTATATTCTTCTCCTATATAATCTAATTAGTTACTACTATTATTAACGTAAGTCCTATAATTCTATTACGGCGTAGTAGCCGTAATAATAACTAATATTATAAAAAAAAAGTTTTTAAATAAAGAATTTTAAAAATATTATATTATTAGGTAAGTATAGTATTAACCTAATTATACTAAAAGTATATATAAGTTTATAGTAAAAGTATAATTTACTTATTTAATATTTTATTAATTAAAAAATATTATAGCTTCTACTATATCTAGTTTAAAAGTAATAAAAGTAGTTTTAATTTATAATACTAAGCCTAAAAGAGGCGGTCCCTTAATAGAATAGCTATTACTTTTTAGTAAATATATTCTAGAAATAGAGAGGTACTTTTCCCTATTTAAAATAATAAGTATAGTTTTATAGAACTTTTAGATCTCTAGCTATAAGATTATATATAGAATAATTAGTTCTAAAGTAAAGATTTAATTTTATATATTAAGGGTAAGGTTAAGATAGATTAGTAAGCTTACTACTTATTTACCCCCTATCTAGAGTTTACGTGAACGTCTATAGAGACTCCTTATAGAATATTTAAGTAAGAGTGTTTAGATATTATAAACTCTGTGTACGTTTTTGGCTCATTATAAGTATCTCTTATAGTGGGCGTTCTAGTGCACGCGTTGCACTTACCCATAGTTATTACGCTAGCACGTTCTTTGTCCAAAATAAACACACGATGGGTGATGCTGTATATTTGGAGTGAGAGCACCCAGTAGGGATACATGTTCACAGGAGCGATATTGACGTGAAGGACCAGGTTTCTGTAGACATGTGTCCTGTATTGCATGGAGTGCTCTGACCAATCCACAAGATAGCAGGCTTTTCTACAGTTGTGGGAGACATTGAAGTTGGTCACCAATGGCAACCTCACTTGATGTGCTGCTCTGCGCTTGTCGGATTGTTTTGGCCCAAGGGCTTCTAACTCAATCATCGCCACTGCTTCCGAAGGGATTCGAGAAGCTTGGCCCAAAATGCACGTTACTCTGGACCTTCTTCATCTCGGCACGACTCTTACTCTGCTCCCGTCTGAGCTCAGCGTCCATATCCTCCTCATCCCTTGCCTCAGCGCTGTCAATGGCCTCTTCTTCTTCTCTTTCCCGGTCTTCGGTGGTTACTGCGCCAACAGCCGCTTCCTTCCGGCGCGCACGCTCCTTTGACCGCTCTGCGTCGCGCTTCTTTTCGAATACCAACGCATCTTGCAGCTTCTCCCGAAACTGATGCTCCTGCGCTTCCTGCGCGATGACAGCGTAGTGGCATCGTCGATGGACGCCCAAGTAGGAGAGGACCAGACCCGAGAGTTCCCATGCGAACAATACAGGCAAGTTGACGTGTAGTTCATTGTTGCAGCCTCCAGACCAGATATCCAACTGCGTGCTGTACACACAGTGCGCAGGCAGCGCATAACCCCAGTGGTAGAATCCAGGGACCAGGTCGAAAGGGAGGAGAATGGATGCAACATTCAGTACGATCCATGTAATGAGCCCGAGTGGCACGAAGCTTAACGGTACCCATACTGTGATGACGTCTAACACGAGAAAGTTGACGTGCGCGAATAGCCAGACAGCCATCCACGTGACCATGAACTGCCCTCCGCCCACCTCCCATCCATCCTTGAAGATCCAGATTGCGGCAGTCACGCAAAGGCTGCCGACGAAGCAGTACCCTGCTGAAATGGCGAAGCGGAAGGCGACGATTCGGTGTGGATAGAGGCGCTCATAGAACTTGAAAGCGGCGTACATGCCATTGAGTGCAGCCAGGTAGAAGAATTCTTGAATGAGGATCAGGATGATGCACAGCGTGTTGTAAATCGCCCGGCTACCCTGATTCGTTTGTTTGATGTTGATCTGCCCCAGAGTCCAGGGATTGCTGTACGCCCCCACAGCATTTGGGTCTGCGCGATCCATGGTGTTGATAGCGCCTGATCCGTTGATCGACGTGTATGCGACTCGTGCGGCAGCGGACAAGGCGGTAAGCGTTGACAGGACGCTCGAGTCTGCGGCGGTGGGGTATCGCGCTTCGTCCCAGGCGAAGGTCAGTACGTCGGTAGGATCGTAGTTGGCAGCTGCTGAGCCACCAGCCAGCGCCGCGGAAAGACGATCAGAAGCGCCGGGATGCGTCCAGATGGAGCCCCAGTAGCGGCGTCGGCACACGTCGCTCCGCAGAGCTCCAACATCTGGGGTTTGACCGACTGCGGAAACCTCGATCAACGTCGGGTACGAGTCAGCCTTCAGCCTCTCGTACGCCGCACGGACGCTCGCGCCTATCACTCCACCATCGTAGTCGGTGTAGATAATCTTGATGTTGTATACGTGGGCATTTTGCGAGTACAGCGTGCCGAAGATGTAGCAGAACAGCGTGAAGAAGAGCAGTTGCAGGATGGCGAAGTTACCGAGCACGGCTTTGAAGAACTTGGCCCGTATTGCCTTGACGGACGGGTGTCGCACGCCGACACGGTTCTCGAAGGCGCGGTGGTAGGGGTTGTACTTGTTCGGCACCTTGAAGAAACGGTTGGGAACTTTTGAGGACAAGTGTTGAGCGTCTCGATTCTCCATTCTGGCGGGAATTCCACCGCGTTCCTCGTGGATGAAAGGCCTACAGCTAGGGATGTCCGACAGGGCCTTTCGGCGTTCCAGTTGATGGGGGGTTTCGCGGCGGTAGAAGACCACCGAGAAAGAAAGCTCACTGCTGGAAACCTCGATGGAAGTTAGCCCATTATTAGCATCGACGTCCAGACTATGCTACCACGAAAGAGCATCAAGCGCAGCATGTGTCATCGCCTTAGTCTTGCTGACTTGCAGGCGACACGCTTATGCATACTTGTAGCGCGGACAAAACGAGCGTGGGCCGGTCTCAGCCTTGGGTCCAGGCGATCGCACATCGCTTATCTCGTCACGGATATTCGGGATCCTGCGCCTCAGTTTCTATAGCCAATCATGCACAATACCGTGCTTTTGACCGCTGTCTCGTATACCCACTAACATAGCCCTTCGTGTCGTCGTTTGCATTGTCATCGAACAGATGATAAGCAGGCCATTCCAAACAGAGGTTCCTGCCCTGTACGCTGTTGCCACCCCCGCAAACCCTGCTCCAAAGCGTCGAATCACTGTGTCTGTTTGCCGCAACCAGCTCAACCTTCTGGTTTTGGTGCATCACGCCTGTCGAGTTTAGTAGGCAAGACCAGGAGACGATTGTCGTGTGGGGCGTTCAGTGCTCAACAACGATTGAGAATGACATACATGTTGCGGAGCGGTTCATTGCTGAGATAGCAGGCAAAGTCACACATATATGGCGGCTGGCCAAATCACACAGCACGACATTCAAGGCAGACCTGGTTGATGAAACTCGCAGATGAGTAAACCGGGGACCACAGAGTGTCCTAGTCATATTCCCCCCTGACTATTGTGGCAATGCCACCACAGATGCTAAGAGATGCCTTGAGTTCCCTTCCCGCTGTTGGCCATGTCCACAACCATGTGCACAAGCCACCGGCGATCCGTCTCCCACTCCTCTTCACTTGCGCTTGGCCTTCTCCTTGGCGGCGTCCATCTTGGCCCACTCGGCGCGAGAGATGTACTCCGGTGAGTAGCGCTTCTTCGGCTCCCAACGAGGCTGGTTGTACGGCTTAGGAGCACCCACGAGGCTAGAAAATCATCAGCTCAAGGTAAGACAGTAGGTTCGATGCACGTACTAGACCGTGTGTTTGGCGCCCGGGTCGCCGGTCTCCTTGACATCCTCCTTGTCGCCGCCGTCCTTGTAGCCGCCGTGCTTGTCGCCGCCGTCCTGGAAGACCCGACATGTGATCAGCCGCGTATCTCACAAGAGGATGCTGGGTGGTAATTACCTGTTCGTGGGCAGCCTGATCGCTGTTGCCAGCGAGCGGGGCATCTGGGTGGGAAGGGTTGAGGTCAGCCGAGACTTGGGCGTCGTCGGTCATGTTGATGGTTTGATCAGGCATGCTGAGTGATGCGAAGGTGTCGTAGATGGTGCGAGAAAGTTTGGGATACCTAAGCTGAGTGATGCGAAGGTAGAGTAGATGATGGGAGAAAGGTTGGGAGACCTAAGCTGATCGTGGTGAGGGAATGTAAAGGTGTGAGACGATCCAAGGTGAAGGTGATTGCGACTGCCGAAAAGGCCACAAAGCCACCACTTACCTACGTCAGCGTACTAGGGTGCCGCACAATCGCAAAAATCACTGCACGCAAAGCTTGGTGAACGAGAGGCTGTGGGGCGTTGTTTGGTTGCTCGAAATTGTGTTTGCTCCTGGTCGCGCTTCCCCTTCCTGTCTCTCACAACAAAGAGCCAAAAGCCATCCCTTCTGCGAAAAGCCACTTCTCTTCTATATTGAACAAATCTCACTCGTCGAGATAACGGGTAAGTCGTCCACTACTTGCGAGAATCGCAGGTACATTCTGACCTGATTTGTCAGGACGTGTAGCGAAATGAAGAACAGTCGCGGAGCAAACGACAGAACGCCAATCGGCAACTGGATCGCAACACTGACTGCGGCGATGTCAACGGTCGGCCTACGCCCATCAGCATCCCCAAGCCAGGATGCGAACGACGAGTCACGCAGTGGCATCATGCCACCACCCAATTCCCCAGTACTCAGTACGATCCGTGACACAATCTTGCCTCTGTCGAAGTGCTTACATGCGCGCAGGAGCCACACAGACTCACGAGGAAGATCTTCGCGGCTTTCTCTAGACGGACACTGATCCTGAAACCCAAAGGTCAGCACATTTCATGTATATCTGAATGCTTCTGACAGACAAATGCTTCAGACGTTCCGATGCAAAGGATGAACATAAGCAACTTACATTCGCGGCGTTAGAGCCATCGATCTGAGTCGTCGTCGATACAAGCCGAGCATCCAGCAATATGTCGACTGTTTCCGCACCATACGTCACCGAAGCATATCTCGGTTTCACCTGCACGGATCAGATAGTTTGCGTACATGCCTGCTTAACGGGGTACATGATCTCGTAGGGAAAATGAAGCATTTGTCCACTCTGCGCATGATTGTCTTCTCTTCGGTAGCCCCCGACGCACCTCGACGATCGCTTGAGCGTGGTCATCCCTGTTGAGCAGTTACTTTGCTTCCACTATTAATCCGCAGGACTGATCTTCTCTAGGTTATCCGTGACAGGCATGTCGTGAGCGAGCGACTCGCCGGTCTTGGGAGGCGTGGCCACGATTGGCTCTTTGGACGCTCCATCAGACGGTCGTTTGGGATCGAGGTCGGGACTTGGCGACCTTTCGGCGTCTGGCTCTGGGGCTTGACCTGCATCAATCGGGGTCCGGATCAGGGTCAGGTTGTCGGTATTTCGCCTCATATTGTCGCGCCGCGGGTCAAGGCGATACGGGGGAAGACTGCATCGCTTGGAAGAGACGCACGGTCAATCAAGGCCTCCGCAATGATCACGCCTATCAGGGGAAGGACGAGGGGGATATTGAGCGCAAGCATCACGAGGCGCTTGATTTGCATTAGAAGGTGGTTTCGCGCAGTGGAGCACGTCAACTGGCATCGAGGTCTCAAGTTTGACGCAGTAGTTCTCCTGACAGAAGATGATCTTCTCCGCCAGCAGTGGCAGAAGCTACAGCAAAGCTCTTTCCATGATGTACAGTACTCTGTGACGATGTGCCGCCGGTGACCGTACGGAAGCTGGGCAAATTTGCTGCGATTGGAGGAACGGGAGCGCTGTGGGCGAGGGCGCGAGGGTGTGGGGATGGGGCAGGCGGGCGCTACCGTCTTGGGGACATGGTCAGGCGAAGAGGGCCCGGAGGAGCGAGGTTCAAGGTGCTGTCGCCTGGAAGCTTCGAAAATGTGTCAGAACTAAAGCTCAACCGCAGGCAGCACGAGAGGACGAGCTAGCCTGACTACGAGGATATCGCAGCTTCACTTGCATGGTCCATACACGGTGCGCTTCATCAGAGACTCGCGGACAAAAGACGAGGTACCGCCAAATACAGAAGAACAGCATGCCACAAAGCTTACTCACTACATCTGCCACCTTCTTAATTCCCAGGCAAACACATCCTTGTTATTGGACATGAGGGAGAGGTCGCGGGAGTCCCTGTACAGGGCCGCGCATGTCAGAGAGCGGGCGGGCCGACCCGAGGGTGAGTTGGCGTTCGCATATCCTTCGGATCAACGATTATCCGAACGCGGGGAAGACGCACATGTGACGCGCTAGCGTTGCCAAGCTTTCTGCCTGCGACGTGCGCAACGCCCAACCACCGCCTTCTTCGCCTCATCCACCACCATCCTCATATCCGCCAAACACCAACGCTCGCTATTTTTTCGTTTGGATATATGCGCATTCACCTCACGACACGGCCGAACTCTTCCACACGCGAAGGCGACTAGTTTAGTCTTTGCCTCGCTCGATGTCCTAGATCTGAACCGCCATCTTTGCGCGTCGCACAAAGCCTTCTCACTGCGCACTTCCGCGCAAGACTGTTAGGGGGCGGTTCACATTTAGGCCGGGCGTTGCGAACACGACGAGGCTGGAACGCGTGGTCGAGGTCGCGACAGGGTCAGGGCTGCCCTCTGCCAACACACAAAGCCCGGGTGGGTGGGCAATCCTCTTGTGCCGGTGTCGGTACCAAGGGGGGCAATTTCTGGTGAGTTGTTCGGGAGTTGGGTAGATAGGGCGCTGATATAGGAATCAATGTCTCGCTACGACTTTCTGTTCCGTAAAGGCGGTATCCCCGCTCTTGCTTCATGTGTTTCCAATACGACCCAAGCTTCGTGTGCAGGCAGTCTTATTGTTCGCGTTAATGAATGCTCCAAGCAAGCCACTATCGAGCTTGAGTTCGGACTCCCAGTGCATGGCTTCGAGACGGACCAGCGAATCACTTTCGTCTACGACGGCAACAACTTCGCATCCGGCGCGATTCCTGTGAAGGGGATACATGTATCGCCTGAAAATGTCGAGCAGATTACGCAGATCTCGCGCAGTCCCACCGAACACAAGCCTAGGTCAATGCAACTGACCCTGACAGAGCCATGCGTCGTCCTCAGCCCCTCGGGCAGCATATCTCCCAAGCAAGGCCATGAATTGCGCTTTCAACAGGTTGCCACGCTAGCAAGGGCGACCAAACTTGACATAGTCTTTGATTTTCTCTGGTTGCACCGCGACAAGGATGCGCAATTTCGATACCTTATCGCCAACGCAAGCTTGACGGGGTTCGCCCATAAAAACGCGGACACCGTTGAGCACGACTGGACCATTTTTGGTGTTGATGAAGCGGTTCTTCCTGAAGTACCCCCGCCGTATGACTTCACCTCGCAGAAACGTTCTCGCCATAGTAAGTCGCTCCGTGTTCCCTTCTTCGCCGTGTTGACGTCCAGCAGGTTCGCCCGGATCCCCCCAGACGAGTCCGAAACGACCTCTACTCGATTTCCCACCGGGCTCGCCCACAGAAAAAGCCACCACAGCGGCCGCATCCCTGAGTCCACGTTTCCCTCCGTCTTCGCCGTCTGCTCCCGCGTTCGATGCCTTCCAGAGCGCAATCGAGAATGCTGTCGAGAACGCTGTCGCGAAGATAGTCCCCGATGCCATCCAGCGTATGCTCCCCGACGCACTCGCCAAGATGATCCCCAATGCCATCGAACAAATGCTTCCCGACGCGCTCGAAAACACCCTCACCCGCATGGTGAACAAGTCAGTGGCGGCTGCGTCGGCTGCACCAGGTCGGACAACGCAAGGCTTATCAGATCCCACGTCGCCGCTGTACGCCATGATTCGGCAGCACCTCGACGCCCGATTAGATGAACTTGCGAACGACATCACAATCGAGACCCAAGAGCATGCGCAGGACCTGCGAGACACTGCCAAGGTGGAGCTGGAAGAACGACTCGACGACCACCGTCTCGAGATCACCGAGCTTCAGGCGGAGGGCATAGCGGACTTCCAGCTGGCGTGCGCTACCGAGCTAGAGGCGTTCAAAGAGCAGACGCTTGAGATGAAGGAGGACTTTGAGCAGGGCACCGCTGAAGCGTATACCACGGCCAAGGAAAGGCTGGACGAGCTTGTGAGCGATCGGAGAGTGGACTTGAAAGAGAGGTTGATGGTAGAGGCTGGGCGGCGTTTGTATACAGAAAAGCCTGCCGTAGAGTCTGAGCCCACCCGCCGCGCAAGCTCGGTGCCGTTGGGTGTTGGCTGGTGAGGAGGTTGCCGGCAACAGGGTGGGGTGGCTGTTGCCAATGGAATGGCAGTGTACAAGTCGGTGACTCTCGCGGCGAAGTGCGACCTCGCGACGACGCACGCGCTTCAGAAGCCGTGCCGATGGAAGAGCTGGACGACACGTTTACGATTGTGTATAGTGAGGTTACGAAGTCATGTCAGCATATGGTACTGAAAGTCACGGCTTCTTTGCGTTAGATATAGATACCCTCCAAATATCGCATACCACAACCACACTTTGCTTTCTTTCTATCCATGGTACGTGTCCCACCAGCCGACCACTCGATAGTATCTTATGGGATGGTGTGTGGGTGAGGCGGAGGAGAGGGGGTAGGTGGATGGATGGGTGGTTACCGTAGCTTGTGCTGTCTTTCTTTCTTTCTTGGTTAATTGGTTGGTTGGTTGGTTGGTTGGTTGGTTGGTTGGTTGGTTGGTTGGATGATGACATCTGTGGTAGAGTGGTAAGGTCAGGCGGTTCCGATCTTTGGGTTTGGGTGCATGTTCCTGGTGCAAGCCATACGTTTGAAGGGTCGACCTTGCGGCAGAGCAGCGATGCGATGCGGTCGGCCGCGCAGTTCTTGATGGCGATCCAGCCGATGACGACGACCGTCTTTTCCTTTGAGCCAGGATGACAGCGCCGGGCTTTTCGAGACTGTTGACTATTGTGTCTGCGAGGAGGGTAATCCACGGAAGTTGAAGTCCCGGAATGGCACGCTTAGAGAAGGCATGTCGAGCTCTGTTAGTGCAGCTTCCCCAAAGAGTGGCGCCTGGGGTGTGACAGTGAACCTTCCGCTGATAAACCACATCAAGTTCCTTCTTATCTTTCATCTTCAGATTGATGTCCAGCTGAGCTTATTGGTCGTCGCATACTTAAAGAGTAATTTAACCAGATCCTTGCACTCCCGATCTGTCTTTTTTGGAGCCTTTGCAGAGCGCTTCCTGAATCTTTATGGCTTCTTCGATACCTAGTGCCGCAAACGTGAACTTCCCGTTCTCATACGTCACCTGCAGGGAAGGATGAGGCACTGTGACCGCGCCTTCGAATGAAAGCTTGGTACCAGTGCAACTAGCCTCTCCGGCATATCTCCTCGGTCCTATAAGTAGGACATTTCGAAGTAGAAGCCCGCATGGCCCATAAGCGTCACTCCGGCTAACACCTTATACTTCTGGGTCGCAGCGCGCGTGGAACTTTTGGCCAACGAACGTGTCGAGACTCCTGGTCTGTTAGTGGCAGGTGAAGCGGTCTCATTCGGGCGGACGGGCGGTGTAGTAAGCTGGCAGAAGCCCAGCTTGACTATACCTACGTGCGAAACCGGGAGGACCATGCCGACCTTGTCGTTCGGTAGATGGAGGGGGATTGAGAATAGCTCGTCGAACACGTCGAGTGTTGTAGTGATGTTGAACACTGAGTGACATGGGTTTCCAGCATGCGTGGCGGCCTTGTACTCTCCCCAAATCTAGAACGCATGGTCCGAGCGATACTCGATGCTTATCGACGGTAAGGAGAGTGCGTTCGGAACTCCCACGTCTGGAGGGATGGAGAGTCTCTGCTCACCGCTATCACTAAGGAACCTCCCTGCCAGCTTTCGAAACTCGGGAGTATGAGTGCTGTCATTTGAGCCGACAATGATGAGCTTCCCGGAATAGAGCTATTGTGCAGGCTTCGCTTTCTCGGATGAAGGGGTAACTGTATACTTCAAGGCCACCACCAGATCAGGCGAAAGCCGTAGGCACCTCCACACCTGGGCGTCCAACGTAGGCTTGGAGTAGTGCAATTCAACTAAGACGTTCTAGAGTATCCTTGTTGAGAGGGCTGTCGAGTATCGTGTGTGGCGCTATCGACTTGACAACAGTAAGCTCAATCTTTGTCTGCTTGCACTTGTCTGCTTGCCTCTTTTTCAATCGTTCCCTCCATCCGTAGCATTAACATCGATAATGCTGACCGCTGCACCAGTCCGCAGGATATCAAGATCGAACAATTCATCCTTAAGGGAGGTAAACTTGGAAGACGCCGGCAATCGGGCACAGGGGAAGAAAATGGGATTGGCATCAAACAGATTCGGTAATCCCTCAAAGCGATAGCGATTTCTCAGTTCCGGTTCGATCGAGGTTCAAATGGTAGTACCACTATTGGCTCCCCACGCGCAAGCGAGCCAAAGTTGTGCTTTCGTCACATCTTGCACAACCATACCAGCGAATTTAACGAGCTGGTACCGCGGGCGCAGTCGCCGTCGCCGTTATTGGCTCTGCAAAGTAGAATTTTACAACTTAACGCACAAACTTTGGCACTTCAACACCAACTTCAGCGCCTGGGGCGTCAGAGTGTCCATGTCCAGGCTCGCATACATCTTCTTAACGCCTATGTCCCCCACCACTCCCAGCAAGCTGTTTGCCTAGTTTTTGTCAACAAGACTCCCGGCGCGTCGACGACGGAACCGGGATGTGCGGCAAGGAAGGTGGCGGTGAAGGAGTTGGCATAAATGTCGTAGCTCGCTTTTTTAAGCAAGGGAAATTGAGAAATTTTCGACGTGCTGCGAGGTATTTTGCGCCACCCCGTTCGTATTTCCTGCAAGCTCCACTCCTCGGAACCAACAGTTCTAGATCGGGCCACTCCTTTCTACAGTAAGTCTTGCGTTTTCCAGTTTCAGCTTATTACGCACCGACTCAACCTCATGAGCCATAACATCTCCCTCCCAAGCTCTGAGTTACTATTTATTATTTTCCTGTAGTACTTCATCCTTGAGGAGATTCACTCTCAACTTCGACGTTACACTATCTACCAGCGGTACCGATCGCTCCGCCAACTCCACTAGTGTAACACCTCGAGCGGGTTCGCTCTTTCGCCATACAAAAGCTATACTCACTACCTGCCAGCAATGTCTCTGTAGTGAGTTGAGCCTTGAAGACCATCTTTAGTTACCCCATCCTTCTGGTTGACTGAACCGGGAATCTCAAAATCAACAACGTGAAAAATTTCCCTAGCATCCTTGGTCAACGATCATGTCTCAAACCTCCCGTACATTCGTCAGCCTGTACCAGAATCTTCTCAGCAGCTATCGTATTTCTTCCAGGTCGTCTCCAGTATTAAAGCAGGAACGATACTCTTGTTAATTCGTGTCCGCGACGGGTTGCAAGACGATAAATCCAGCCCTGTTGCGGGTGAGCTGCTGCAGCGACGTACCTGTGAAAGGAACTTGTGTACGTGTTCAGCTGCGCCGTCTCCCCCTTTCACAGTAAAAAATGGTAAGAGGTGATAGGATAGAGGAGTTTCGGTGCTTGCGATGAATCCTACCACACGTCTGCAATAGCAGCGCTGCCGAACGACTTGATGTTGACAGGGCGATCTTACAGTGTAACATCAGACTGTTTGCGAGTGACTGAGCCAGAAGGTGATGCTTTTACTGGAGTCTTTGCCTTCTCAACTACGACTCCCAGCTTGTTCATATGCACGTCTGAATCTATGGACTAGAGCACTGGATTTGCCAGCCCTGTTATTTTGGGGTGAGTAATGAGGTCGGCATGGCGTACGGCCAGTCCGGCGTCTTGAACGCTTGTGCAGTCGAGCCGTTCATGTCGACTCGGTACTGATAGATGGCGCTTCAGGGACGTGACTGTGTCGATTTCCACTCTATCTAGCAGCAATTCCTGCAGCTTTGGCAGCGCGGTCGTGACAGACGCTAGTTATATTTGTGCGTAAGGGCGTGCGTCTGGCTTCGCGGTTGGTGCTGACTTCCCGCGAGAAGACAAGCAGTATGGCACTGTTTGTTGAGAATAAGGTCGCGGTCTATTTGAGAGATTTTCAGGCGATGGTACCTGCAGTACGTGTAATACCCGCTCCTCCTAGCAGAGTCGACACGATAGAACCGGCGAAGTCCAGATGCATCTCAACGGCCTGGGCTGAAGAAGGGCTGAAGGCGGTGTTACCAGAAGATGTGACTGTAACGTCTGGAAGTTTCAACGGGCGATGCGATAATCTTCCTCTCTTTATGTTGGGGGGAAGTCAGACGAGAGAAGACTGGGGGACTGGATACTGTTTCTACGATAAGCTGTGAAGACATCCTTGAAAATCTTTTGTAGTGACTTTGTCATAGTAATAGGGCTGGGTAAACGAGCTGGGCCCACATCCTGATGGGGGGTCACTATAATCGTATGATAAGGCGTTCCTGTCGCTGGCTGAGGATTACCTATCGAAACTGCCATCGGTGTCACTGAAGACTAGAGTTGGACACAGCTGCAAGTCCACCCTTTCTAAGCCGCTCTACAGCTCTGCCTCCAGCGCAGCGACCAACCCATCATCATCCCCAATACTGCAGCTCGCAGACAGAAAGCTATTTCCCACGGATTTGAGGTCTTGTGACATGGAGGATTTCCACGCGACTGGTGCCACTACTGACCACATGAACGGTGAGCTTGCCTTTTGTCGACATGTGGCTTGATTGTAACATACCAGCATCGCAAGACAGATTAATATGATGAGTAAATCGGTAGGCTTCGCGGTCATAACGAGATAGTGTTCTGCTGATTCTTCAGAGGCCATGTTCCGTACCGGTTCTAGGCGTGCCTAACATCTCGCTACACGGATCTGTCTCGTTGGTAATTAATCTACTGGCACGTTAGAGGTATCGGACTTCATATCAGCATCAACACCAACCACCATGTTCACGATGGCAATCTCGAAACCCACAGCCTATCGCGTTGCAGTCTAAATGGAATATCTTACGAAGCTACTCCCGATCTGCCTGCATCAGTGTCGCATGTGAAAGTAAATGTTATATACTTCGAGCTTTCTTACATTTTTAGACTTCTACGTATATGTGCTTCTGGTGTCATGGTATTGTTGGCAGATGGTTGTGCCAGGAAGCGTTATGAGATTTCGTCCAATTCTTTATGGTTCTTCGAGTATAAATCGCTGTTAGAATTCTCAATTCCGTGACATCAAAAGTAAGCGGACCACATGCGCAGTATTAGTGGGTGTTGGGGCAT